GTAGTGTATATAATTTAGTTACTACACACACACACACACACACACACACACACGTATTACATAAACAGCAGTCCCAAACAGCCCGAAAGAATGGCTTGACATCACTTTCCTGAAGGTGACAGCTAACAAAACCACACAAGAAATGCACCTGCACTTTCACAGAGCAATACAAGGGAGTGTGGGACACATACACACATTTCCCACACTGTCTGCATTAGAAACACCCAGGCAGACGAGATGTCTAACCCTGGCCAAGGGCCTCTGGCTAGCCTGCCAAATGCCCTCCACACAAGAGACCCAGACTCAGCACTGTTTCCTGCAACACTCAGGGAGATGAAGAGCTAAAGAGGCAATCAGTTAAATCCCAAAAGGAAGGGATCTTATTAAACTACATTTAGACCAATTTAACATTGAAAACCCGCACAGGAGGCCACCATCTTGGCTGAGGGGAGCTTGGCTTCACTGCTAAGTGGAAACAATGAGAGGCAGGTGGCCATTTTGAAAAGAGGCATCTTTTGCTACAGGCAATTTTATCTTCACTCCTATTGAAAATGATGGGAGATGGCTGCCATTTTGAAAAAGGTGACTACTTTGTGGAATTCGTGGTACAAGAGCATTACTTAGCAGCCATCCTCTGCTAAAGAGGCAACTTTAAATTACGAAGAAAAACAGCAAACAATGGCCATTCATCCTGAAATGCTATCTGCAAACGTAACCATTGCATGAGATTTCAGTCCGTTTTAACCATATGGCAAACTGGAAGAACCTACATTAGCTCATTAGTAAGATCATTCAGCACAAAAAAGTCAGATACATGGGGCTACATTTCTTAAGGGCCCACTTTTAAAATCAATTTTAACTCAAAAGCTAATTATCCAATTAACTGGAAAAGTCTCGGAAAATTAATTATTTAGTCAGAATAAGTATTTGGGGGAGGGAGGTGAAATACACCTCTACCCCGATATAATATGACCCGATATAACACGAATTCAGATATAACGCGGTAAAGCAGCACGTCCGGGGGGGGGGGGGGGGCGGGGGCTGTGCGCTCCAGCAGATCAAAGCAAGTTCAATATAACGCGGTTTCACCTATAACGCAGTAAGATTTTTTTGGCTCCTGAGGACAGCGTTATATCGGGGTAGAGGTGTTGCTGTATTTAGTGGTTGAATTCGTGCTTTCAGCGCAAAGCTCAACTCAGCCTTAACTATGGAACTGAAACTGGAGCATCCAACAGACAGAGAGAGAGAGAGAGAGAGAGAGAGAGAGAGAGAGAGAGAGTA